CCTTTATTTCTTTATCTAGCCTAATTGCTCTGGCTAGGACCTCTAGCACAGTGTTGAATAAGAGTGGTGATAAGGGCATCCTTGTCTGGTTCCCGTTCTCAAGGGGAATGCTTTCAGACTCTCCATTTAGGATGATGTAGGCTGTTGGCTTTGTATAAATGCCTTTAATTATATCCAGGAGTTTCCCTTCTATTCCTATTTTGCTGAGAGTTTTTATCATGAGTAGGTGTTGGACTTTGTCAAATGCCTTTTCCACATCAATTGATAAGATCATGTGGTTCTTGTCTTTTGTTTTGTTTGTGTGATGGATTACATTGATTGTTTTTCTAGTGTTGAACCATCCCTGCATACCTGGTATAAATCCCACTTGGTCATGGTGAATTATTTTTTTGATATGTTGCTGAATTCTATTGGCTAGAATTTTGTTGAGAATTTTTGCATCTATGTTCATGAGGGATATTGGTCTGTAATTTTCTTTTTTTTTGTGGTATCTTTACCTGGTTTTGGTATCAGCGTTATGCTGGCTTCATAGAATGAGTTTGGGAGTATTCCGTCCTTTTGTATGCTCCGAAATACCTTTAGTAGTAGTGGTGTTAACTCTTGTCTGAAAGTTTAGTTGAATTCTCCAGTGAAGCCATCAGGACCAGGGCTTTTTTTGTTGTTGTTTGGAGTTTTTTAATTATCTTTTCAGTCTCTTCTTTTGTTATGGGTTTATTTAGTTGTTCTACCTCTGTTTGTGTTAGTCTAAGTAGGTAGTACGTTTCTAGAAATTTGTCCATTCCTCTAGGTTTTCAAATTTGTTAGAGTACAATTTTTCATAGTATTCTGTTATGATTCTTTTAATTTCAGTTAGGTCTGTTGTGATATCACCATCTCATTTCTTATTCAAGTTGTTTGCTTCTTCTCCTGTTTTCTTTTGTCAGTTTGGCCAGTGGTTTATCGATTTTGTTGGTCTTTTCAAAGAACCAGCTTTTGGTCTTGTTAACTCTTTCAATTGTGTTTTTCTATTTTCTATTTCATTTAATTCTGCTCTGATTTTATTGTTTCCTTTCTTCTAGTGTTCAAGGGCTTCTGTTGTTTCTCTCTAGTTATTCAAGTTGTAAGGTTAATGTTTTGATTCTTGCCCTTTCTTCTTTTTGGATGTGTGCATTTATTGCTATGAATTGACCTCTGAGCAGTGCTTTTGCTGTGTCCCAAAAGTTCTGGTAGGATGTGTTTTCATTCTCATTTGATTCTTTGAATTTCTTTATTCCATCCTTAATTTCTTCTATAACCCAGTAGTTTTTGAGCAAGCTGTTGTTCAGTTCCCATGTGTTTGATTTTTTTTCCTTGCTTTTTCTGTTATTGATTTCTACTTCTATGTCCGTATGGTCAGAAAAGATGCTTTGTAATATTTCAATGCTTTGGATTCTGTTAAGGCTTGCTTTTTGACCTAATAATGTGGTCTCTTCTGGAGGATGTTCCATGTGCATTGGAAAGAAAGTATACTTGGCTGCTGTTGGGTGGAGTGTTCGGTATATGTCTATGAGATCAAGTTGATTGATTGTGGCATTTAGATCTTCTGTGTCTTTATTGAGCTTCATGGTTTTCTTAGTTTTTATTTTGATGTGCAGGATTGTTAGCTTCCCTTGTGGTTACTTTAATATTTACCCCTATTTTTCTAAGTTTAAACCACTCTTTTATTTCTTTATATCACCTTGACTTCCTCTCCATATGAAAGATCCATGACTACATTTTTAAGTCCCCCTTTTTTATTTTAATATTGTCATCTTTTACATATTGATGTCTCTGTTTCCCTATTTTCAGAGTTTTAGCTTCAATTTTTTTTTTTGGACTTCCCTGTCTTGGTTGATATCTGGTTGCTTGTCCTGTGTTTCTAGTCTTGGGTTGTTATCTGGTGTTATCGATTTTCTAACCGGAGGACTCCCTTTAGTATTTCTTGTAATTTTGGTTTGGTTTTTGCAAATTCCCTAAACTTCTGTTTATCTGGAAACGCCCTAATTTCACCATCATATCTGAGAGACAGTTTTGCTGGATACATAATTCTTGGCTAGCAATTTTTTTCTTCAAGGCTTTATATATGTCATCCCATTGCTTTCTTGCCTGCGTGGTTTCTACTGAGTAGTCCAAGCTTTGTCTTACTGACTCTCCTTTATAGATGAGTTTTGTTTATCCCCAGCCCCTCTTAAAATTCTCTCTTTATCTTTGGTTTTGGCAAGTTTGACTATAATGTCTTGGTGACTTTCTTTTGCGATCTACCTTATGTGGGGTTCGATGAGCATCTTGAATGGGTATCATCTCATCTTTCATGATATCAGGGACGTTTTCTGCCAACAAATCTTCAATAATTCTCTCTGTATTTTCTGTTATCCCGCCCACCCCGTTCTTGTAATCCAATCACTCATAGGTTATTCCTATTGATAGAGTCCACACATTTCTTGGGGCTTCTTCATTTTTTTAAATTCTTTCATCTTATTTTTCCTCAAATAAGTTGGTGTCAAGTGCCTTATCTTCAATCTCACTAATTCTGACTTCCATTGCCTCAGTTCTGCTCCTGTGACTTTCTATTGAGTTGTGTAATTCTGAGATTTTATTGTTAATCTTCTGGATTTCTGTTTGCTATTGCTCTATGGATTCTTGCAGCCTGTTAAATTTGTCCTTATGCTCTTATATAATCTTCTTAAGTTCCTTTATTACTTTGTCTGTGTCTTCCTTGGCTTGTTCAGCATTTTGCATGATCTCCTTCCTGATCTCTTGAAGAGTTCTGTATGCTAATCTTTTGTATTCTACCTCTGGTAATTCCAAGAAATTCCCTTCTTCTGGAAGATTTCTTGATTCTTTGTTTTGGGAGCTTGCTGAAGCCATCATGGTCAGCCTCTTTATGTGATTTGATATTGACTGTTGTCTCTGAGCCATTAATAAGTTATTATATTTATTTATTTTATGTTTGCTTACTTTTTCCTAGCTTCTTGTTTTGTTTTGGTTTGGTTTGATATGCCCAAATAGGCTGTTCACGTGAGCTAGTTTAATTATTTGTGGCTTTAAAGCTCTAACGTCCTATCACCAGGTGGTTAGAAATGTTACTTGGTATATGAGCCAAGGAGTCCATTTACTTTTCTTGTACGGATTCATCTCAGGTGTCCAGATAGTCAGTCACCAACTGTGTGGTGCAGGCTTTCACCTACAGTCCTAGATGGGCAGGGGTGATTGGAGTAGGCACGGGTATCTGGCTGCAAGTACAAGTACAGTGCTGAGCAAGGCAGGGGGCTAACAGCTGCCCCTGAGCATCTGGAAGGAAAGCATTTCCCTGTTCCCTAGAGTGCATAGGTGGGTGAGTTTTGAGTCAGACTACAGGCACTCAATGCTGTTGGTTGTAAGGACTGGGAGGCACCACTTATTCTCAGACCTTTGTCGCAGTGGTTAGGTCGCGTGAGTGGAGCCACCAGTACTCAGGCCCTTGATGTGGGTAGGTGAGGATCCTTCTTAACGGGCAGAGTGGTGTCAAACGTCATGAACCTGCCACTCCACCATCTAGCTGATACTGTGAAGTTATGCTTCAGGTATATACCCTGTTGTACTGTGCTAATGAGGGCCTACGCTGTTGAAATGGGCCCACACAGGTCTATGCAGAGGTGAAAGGCATTCAATGTCCATGCACCTCTTATGCCTGTGCCTTGGCAAAGCAGCTGTGCCTGCCCTGAGTTCCTGGCTTAGAGGAGTTGGCAGATTATTTTTTCCTGTTTGTTAATTTGTTCCCTCTCCAAGGCCTGGAGAATGGCTCAGGGCACATGACAGGTCCTACTTCTGGCCCAGGGAACGCAGCAATCACTAAAGATGTCCTGGGACCCTGTGCAGAGTGAGGAGGGAGTACATAAAGATTCTTCCCAAATGGAGTGTTTTTTGATCTGTGCAGTAGGTTAGATGCATGTACTTATCTTTTGCCGATTGAGCACCCCTTTTCACTAGTTCTGGAGGCTTGAGTAGACTCTCTGCTGCTTGGTCTCTCTTGATGTGGAAAATGCATCCCGAATGCCACTGCTTGCCTTACTGTGTACCCCAGCTGATCTGGCCTGCAGGGTGCCAGTTCCTTCCAGGTCAGGTCTGGCAACTCCTCACTGCTTCTGAACCATCTCTCCCTTCCCCTGCCACTCAGTCCAATTCCTCAATTTTGCCTTTGATGTTCAGGGCTCCTAGATTGTCATATATAATCAACTCACTTGCTTTTTCAGGTCTTTTTTGTAAGAGGGACCACCAGAAGCATCTGAAAACTCCGTCATCTTGACCCCACCTCACCTTTTAATTTTCTTAAAACCTTAGTGGCATTTATTTGGTACAGGCTAATGACAAGGAACTGTATATTAGCTTACAACAAAGACACACTAATCTCCAAGTCCCTCTTAAGCTATTTAAATTTCTTCAGCCATTTTGTAGTATTAAAAAAATGTAGCCTAAATACGTTTTAAAACACAGACTTAAAAATTGAACTCAGGTGCTGACTCTCTTTATATGTTAGAGAGCACTGAGTTCTCTTGACAGAAAATCAGGCAAACAGAAAAGCTCACAGATCACTCTTGGCTATATCCCTAGATGTGGCGTAGTCATTAAGAGCTCAGCTGCTCACCAGAAGGTTGACAGTTGAAATCCACCAACTTCTTCTTGCAAACCCTATGGGGCAGTTCTAGTCTGTCCTGTAGGGTCGCTATGAGTGGGAACCAACTCGAGGGCACCTAACAACATCTTACCTACCAGAGATTCTGGACAAGATAGTAGAGGTCAGGGAAAGAATAACTTATGCTAAGCCTGGTGAGTTTTACAAAGTTGTATGGTGATTATTTTAGTCATCACTAGTGTTAGTGACCTAGTGATTATATTATTTTCTAGATTAATCTTAAATTGAAACATGCACAAACTATTTATCTGAAGGGTCATCACTGGATATAGTCTGCTTATTTTTTAGTCAATTTGTTTAAATGTTTTTAATTTTTTTTTGTTTGTTTCAGGGCTCATGCCTGTTGCACAACAGCCCGTGTATTGTGCTTCAAAGCATGGTATAATTGGATTCACACGCTCAGCTGCGGTATGGCCATAACCACTACCACGTCATTCTTTATCTTTTTCTACATATTCGAAACATGAGTTTTATAAAGTAGAAGCAAATAAATTCAGAATTCAATACATCTGGATAAAAGAAATAATATTATACTTCATTATTTATTATAAGAATTTTTTTATAAAATCTTTTTTTTCCCAGATCACATAAAGGACCACATAAATAATAAGTCACTTAAAAATGAAATATCTTCTAAACATAGATGTGTTATTGAAAAATATCCTAAGGATATTATTATATTATAGGGAGATACTCTTTATTTTAAAAATTGGCTCCAAATTTAAAAATTGTGAACTTCAGGCTTCTATATTTAGAACATGAAATATGCTCTAGATGTTACTTGCCACAAAGAAAATGAGGGTAGAACATGGAGGCTGGAGAGAGGGGCGGGTCCAAGCATTTACCCCATAGCGTGGTCAAGGATGAAGTCTCTGTGGAAGGTTTACCCCACAGAGTGGCCAAGGATGAAGTCTCTGTGGAGGCCTGGAGTGAAAGGTGTTCAGAGCTTAAAAAAAATATTGTAGACCTAGTCAGCTGCATGATGCAGTGGTTAAGAGTTACTGCAAGCTATGGCTGCTAACCAAAAGGTCGACAGTTCCAATCTACCAGCCACTCCTTGAAAACCTTATGGGAAAGCTCTACTCTGTCCTTATGGGTGACTATGAGTTGGAATCAACTCATAGATTTGGTTTGGGTTTGGGTTTAGTCAGTCGCATGGACCGGTAGCAAGAGGTGAGGACACTTGCCTTTTTCCAGTCACTGACCAAATGGCAGTCTGAATGGGAGAGTAGCAAGAGGTACAGCTAGAGATATAATTAGGGGCCAGACGAGAAAGGGCTTATGGGCCACGGTAATGAGCTTGGCTTTTGTTTTAAGTGCAGTGATCAATGGGTCCTGTAAGTCCAGGACTGACAAGATCAGATTTCCATTTTAACAAGATCATTCTGGCTGCTGTTTGGAGAATGTATTAGAGGACAAGTGTAGAAGCAGAAAGAACAGTTGGGAGGCTTCTGCCACCGTTAGCTGAGGTGAGACAAAGGGGGTTCAGAGAGATGAAAAAATAATATTAACAACAGAGGAAATGCTAGGGGACAGATAAAACAGACATGTGAATGTTAAATATTAAATAAAAAATGAAGATCAGAAATGCTTGTAATTTAAATTGATTGGAAATTTTTATTTACTTTGCAAAGACAGTTTTTATTCAACTTTCTGTGAACACATAAAATTATTACAAAACCAAACTGTTGCCGTCTAGTCAATTCCGACTCATAGCAAACCTATAGGAGAGAGTAGAACTGCCCCAAAGGGTTTCCAAGGAGCAGCTGGTGGATTTGAACTGTTAACCTTTTGGTTAGCAGCCTGAACTCTTAACCACTGCACCACCAGGGCTCCAAGTTGTTACAAAGCAAAGTAAATCTTAAAAACCAGGAGTTTGTAATTAAAATTATGAGACTGGAAAATTATATTTTATTTTACAAATAGTTTGAATTAAATTAAAAAGTTTAAAATTAAGCCAAAAAATGTTAGCCTGAAAATACTTAAGTTGTCTTCCTGACAGTACAGTGTTGGAGGTTATTGTCATGCTCTTCAGAACCGATCAAAGTCCTAAAAATTTCCACCAACAGTATTTTTTAAGCAAATATTCTCTGTTATATAACCTTATCTTTGAAAGAAAACTTGGGATATTAATTCTAAGCCTCAGCTTCTTAGCTTCAGATTCCCACATAGTTCAGTTGATACTATGCTGGATAATTAGGTAGGAGGAACTTAGATAATTAATTACTTTCAGGAGTTGTCCAATAATACTGACTTTTTAAAAATGAATTACTTGAGGCTTTCAGGAGTTAATTTGGCACTTTAGGTACGTATTCTTTTTCTTCCTTTTTGCTTTCTGGTCAACCCTGGTATTGCCATTGCCACATAGTTGGGAAGATATCTATGTCAGAGACTGTTAAATAGCTTATCAGTTTGTCCTATGCCGATCATTTACAAAATTGCTGAAACCTGCAACTTTCGGCTTCTAATTGGCAGATGGCTGCTAATCTCATGAACAGTGGTGTGAGAATGAATGCCATTTGCCCTGGCTTTGTCAATACAGCCATCCTCGAATCCATTGAAAAAGAAGAAAACATGGGACAATATATAGAATACACGGCTCCTATCAAGGATATGATGAAATTCTACGGAGTTTTGGAGTAAGTAAAGCTATGCTTATTTTTCTTCATATGATGGATAAAGTAATAATCTAGACATAAACAATAAGAAGTGAAAAACTTACCTTTCAAATTTGAGCTTCAGTGTTTTGGTTTAGCAAACACTCTGAAAGAAAAGATTTTTTTCTGGGTTTCTAAACAACGTGTTTACACGTCATGAATTTTACTTTGAAATATAGACAATGCCTTATTAATCTTCAGCCATAATTACATTGGAAAAAAACAAAAGGGTCCTATTTAATCATCTTTGGAGGTGATGGTAGTCTTGGTACCTTAGCTAAGTTTCAAGCAATATTCAAATATATCCTTGTAAAATTTTATATGGTTCCATAACTGCAACCGTTTTCATAAGAAACCCTTATTGTTGCAACACATACATTTGGTAAACAATGTCGGAGTTAGAGCAGTTAAGGTTTTCCAAGGAGTCAGCCAGTCTAAGAACAAATCTGTCTCCGCTACTGGCCATGAACTTATTCATCGACCTCTAGGTACCTCAATTTCCTCACATGTAAAATGAGGATAATACTGTAACAAATTTAGGGACATTGGAAAGACTTAAATAAGATGATACATGGGAGATGCTTAAAACAGCAAGCGGTAAATTATTGGCACCTAAGTGTTTGCTTTTTGGTTTAATCAGTGTTAAGTGTGCCCTAGTGACAACGATTAAACGTTGGGCTGCTAACCAAAAGGTTGGCGGTTGGACCCAAAGGTCAGTGGCTCCGCGTGAAAAAGACCTGGGAAACTGCTCCTGTAAAGATTACAGCGTAGAAAACCCTATGGGGCAGTTGTACTCTGCCACATGGGATCACCAAGAGTCAGAATCGACTCAAGGGCACCTACCAACAACAAGTGTTAGCTATAATTCCTAATGTTTCTACTTCAACTGTTTCTATCCAGTAAGTCTAAGATCGATGGATATGGTAAAGATGAGAAAATGATCATTTTCTCAATGTAAATAATGAATATAAATCCTTCCTGCCAAATGACAGATTAGGCATGGAATCTACCACTAACAATTATCATATAATTTAGTGAATATCCAACTGAATAAAAATTGAAGGTAACAATAGCTTGATAACATACATTTCTCTATTACATGTTAAAGGTAGTAGATTCTTCAGAAAATAAAATGAAATAAAAATATGCCTCACTCTTAAGTTTCAAAGTGACAATGTTTCCTTTTATTTTTAGCCCATCCATGATTGCCAATGGGTTAATAACCCTCATTGAAGATGATGCTTTCAATGGTGCTATTATGAAGATCACAGTGTCTAAGGGAATTCATTTTCAAGACTATGATACAACTTCAGCTTAGTGAACATCTTACATGTTGGACGTATCTGAAAATAAACACAAATGACTTATATTCAGACCATATCTTCCTTTAAGTACTGCTTTTTAAATGAAATCTTATAGTTTGAAACTTTTCGTAAAAATGAGAATTAGAGAAATTTCCTTCATGCATTGGATGTTAATAAGTATGTTAATGTTTTTCTAAATGATTAGCTCTACATATGGATAAGAAAATTATCAAAAATATGATGTGGACCAAAGGTAGGTTGTGATCTTTAGAGTCTAAGTAATGACTAAAACAGAGAATATTCAAGGAATATTCTGCCATCCATTTAAATCTGTGATTCATAATTATTGTTTTTCAAAACATCGTTTTAAAAGAGATACTTGAATTGCTATTTAAATCAAACCTGATGTAAAAAGACTCATTTTGTTTCTGTGTTTGTACTTTAAGAGAAGAAAGCTACCTACAATGGCAAATGTTTGGTAATAATAATTTTTACTTATGTACCATCTTTTCACTGAACATCTCAGCTTTCTAAACTTGTTAGCCTATTTTGGACCCATTTGTTAACTAATGAATATATTACAGTGTGCAAATTTCCCAAATGAAAAATCTGATGTTTGGAAACATGATGGAACGTGACTGGCTGGGAATGCTGATTCACAGTTCAGCCATCACCTGGGAAGAACACTTCTTTCCTCTTTGCTTATTTTAAAGACTTTGACTCCCAAAACTCAGGAATGAATCTTTTAACAGTCAAGCAAAAAGAATAGTTAGTACTCCTAAAATGTTATATTAAGATATGCTCAGTAAGAAAAAAAATAAATGTACTTGTTTTTAGATTACTTTATTTGTACCAATTTCAAAAGTGCTTACTTAGTTTTCAATAAAACTCTTTAATCTTCGTAAGTTACTTAGTGTTCTATGTATAGCTGTTGAGGAGAATAAAGCAATTTGTCACAATCACAACTGTAAATATTTTTTGTATGCTGAATGTCATAATAACCCAGAGGAAAAATAGCAGTGATGTTCTGCCCTTTTCACCGTCAGATACTTTAAGAAAAACTCATTAAATGCATCTGTTTTGGGTAACACTGTTTGCAAGCAGTATTAATGCTAAGAATACTGAAAGCGCAAGATTTCCAAATCAATCATTTTTTTTCACAGAAATATTGTATAAATGAAGCAATGCCTACTAAGGGCCAGAGTTCCCGGTTTGGAGGGACACCCATCCACGGTAGGTTGATAAGGATTTCATAGAGATACTGGAGTGTTCTCGCACCTCACTCTGTTGGAACTCTGCCATAGACAGCAATGCTTTCATTTTTAAGGAGTAATTTGAAGGTGAATAACAGTTGTCTAAAGGTCTACATAATGTATTTGACAAACACCAGGAAATAAACATCAAAGAATATCTGATACCAATAAATTGTAATTAGACACAAACTTGTTTGTAACTTATGACCAGACCCACCCATTGCCGTGAGTTGATTCCGACTCATAGTGACCAGTGACCAGTTAATGGATGATACAGGTATGTGCAGTATGAGTTATGTATTTTCCTACTTCAATGTAAAGCCACAGCTTAAACTTTGCAGTTACGTATCATTTTTGTACTGGCAGCCTTCAACATACATTGTGAATTGAATTAATTTCTTTTTCAATTCAATAGATGATGTCAACATTTAAAGTAAAATACTGAATAGAACTGAATAAAAATGTGAGTTACCACTGAATAAACTGAATAAAAATGTGAATTCCCATGCTGGAAACAACTCTTGGGTAAGAACTGTGCTTTTTTTCCTGCTGACACCCCTTGCAAGTCCGTGATAAATACTTAGTGAAGAGAAAGCTCTTGAATCCTACAGCTCCCCAGCATAAACTCTATTTCAGTCTTTGTATATAACCAGTCCTTATCTACAGAAACATTTTCCTTTTAGGAACCCCATGGTTTTAGACACACAATTTTTGATTCCACTGGACAGCTTAAATCTTTTCCACTGAGATTAGTAATGGTTGTGCTTTCCAGAATACTTAAAGAATTTCCCAATAGTGAGGTAGCATGAGCCTGAAATGCAAACCCAAGGAGGAATTTGAAAGTCATTCTTTCTCTGAGTACCAACAGGGTCTGGGAAGAGCCGGGCCCCCTGAATTTATTCTTGTTCTTTAATAATTACAAGTGATGGATGGCATTAAACATCCTCTCAGGAGACAGTTGCTCATATGATGCTCTTCCGTTTTACCTAAAGCAGAGTTTAACAGCATTCTGTGTAAATATAGAAATAGAAAAGCTGTTGTTTACAGTTTTAAATTCTAAATGATCTCCTTTTCTATGTGAATTGCTACTCATCAAATGATTATTAATTCTACATATAAAGCTTGGTCTTTTAAAACGCTTGTATTTCATTTTCTACAAATAAAGATATGTCTAACGTTAAAAGTAAAAAAAATCATTTAAAAACATGTAAGTAGATTAAAAACTTATATTAAAACTTGTCTTCTATAAATAGCATGAAATAAATCTACAACATTGTATGATATATACTGGTTGAGAAAAATAAATACTGGTTTGGGGGGAGAAAGACCTTGGCTTCCTTAAGTTATTTTTCTGTGAAAATTCTAGAAAAAATAAGTATTTTTTCTGGTGCATTTTTCTTCATAAATGAAGTAGGGATTCCCAGGAGAGAAAACTACAAAAATGTGGACACCGTCAAAAAAGACTGAGGCTTGATAATGACATTGAAATGTCAAAAGACCTTAATGTTTCCATATAAGGATCATTTTAGATACTTGTATTATCCCTTAAGATACTACAAGTGATGTACTACAGATAATAATGTGATGATTTCTATCTATGTTTGTTCTGTCAATAGAGTTAGACTATGGAAGAGGGCTGAGTATGCAAATTTTTAATAAAGTTCAAACCATTTCACGTACTTTTTGAAGGCTAGTGCCTCTTTTAAAAGACAGTAAGCAAAAGATCAGTTATGTTTTAATTGTTTGGATAAATTTGCAAAAACTATCATGGTTTCTTTAACATGCTTAGATCCAAGTTTTTTCAAACTGTCACATTGGATAGGATATGGCAGAAGAGAAGAGAATGAATAGAAAATATCAGCAGGCATCTCGTATATATTATTGCACTCATTTTCAATATAAAATACACTTCTTATTGTGAATTACAGTGAAAAAAGGTTTGAAAGTTACTTGATTTGACATTGTCTGTAATCATTGCCTTTAAATTTGCTTGATTTTTCGATTTCTGACTATACGGCCATCTTAATCCTATGGTTCTGTTCAAACTTACTAGCACCACTTCTAATTCATCTTACTAAAATGGCATGGGGACAACATAAAGTTTCTTTTTCTACATGCAACTACAGCATCAATACCAGTAATATAATGTCCTGAATAATGCACGCTGGTTTTAAAACTTTCTTCAAACTTTGTTCCTTTGCTTGGGCAAAGTATTTCACTGTCAGCATATAAACCAGATGCCATCGTGTTGATTCCGACTCATGGTGACCCCAAGCATGTCAATAGAACTGTGCTCCAAAGGGTTTTCAATGGTGATTTTTCAGAAGAAGATAACCGGACCTTTTTTGCCAAGGCACCTCTGGGGTGGCTGGAACTTCCAACCTTTCAGTTAGCAGGTGAGCACATTAACCATCGACACCACTCAGGTACTACTGTCAGCATATAACCAAAAAACCAAACCCATTGTCTTCCAGTTGATTCTGACTCATAGCGATCCTACAGGACAGAATAGAACTGCCCTATAGAGTTTCCAAGGAGCGGTCAGTGGATCTGAACTGCCAGCCTTTTGGTTAGAAGCTGAGCTCTTAACAACTGCACCACCAGGGCTCTCTAGTCAGCGTATTAACCTCTTGCCATCAAGTCGATTCCGACTCATAGGGACGCTAAAGGAGAGAGCAGAACTGCCCTATAGGGTTTCCAGGGAGCGCCTGGTGACTTAGAACTGCCAACCATTTGGTCAGCAGCAGTAGCTCTTAACCACTATGCCACCAGGGTTTCCTGTCAGCATAAGTTACATTAAATTTTTACAAGAATTTCTGAAGTTAGCATTGAACCGTGAAAATTTCTTTTTTTCCCCTTTCAAGCTTCCACGCATACATTCATTTATTCAACAAATAATTACTGAATAGTTATTTTGTAAGTAAATTCATTTATGCATGTCTAAATATATTATGTTCTATCTGGAAATCAGCTAGTGTATGGATCACAGTGGTCCTATCCTATGGGTCACAATGGCCCTGTCCTCAACCAAACACGGGGATGGCAAAGGAGCAGGCGACATTTTGTTCAGCTGTGCATGAGGTTGCTATGAGTTGGGGCAGACACAACAGCGGTTATCAACAACAGCAATATGGATATTAGGATAGGCATGTATCAATTAATGTCCAGTCAGGAAAACAACATTCAAGTCTGAAAGCGTAGAATTCAAGTCTGAAAGCGTAGACTATGGAGAACCAGTTACAAAGGTATTGGAAGAGCTGAAAAACCAAACCCAGAAAGACAAAGCAACATACAGTGTTAGCAACAGTAAGAAGGTATTACCACCTCTGGAAATGGTGGGACTCAAGGTGTTACCTGCACTCAGGAACCATGGTGGAGACTGCAAGCAAAGCTGGGACTGCAGAGCAGGGGCTGTCTGGTGGGAGTTGGAACCAGGGAGGATACATCCACTGCCAGAAAGGCTACCCTAAGGGGTGAGGGAGGAAATATTTATTCTGGAATCTTCCAACATGCTGCTCTCTAGTGTCCTGCCAGTGGCTACCAGTTGGCAAGGTAACCAGGAAAATATAGTTTGCAAGGTCAGTCCTTTGTGATACAGAGCTGAGAGGGGAAGGGCAGGAATGGATTTGAGAACAAATAGGCAAATGGTATGCATTGGGTATTTCCCATGCTACAATTGCAGATTTGAGCTTGCCACTTACCACCTACAAAAGCTTATTTTTAAGTCATGAGTAAAGATATCACTTAACTCCATAAAAATAAAATGGTCTGGTGTTTCTGGGGTCTGATCCCACAATAGCTAATACCCCTGCAGTCATCTGGCTTGTAAGTAAAAGCCTATGGTTTTAGGCATACGGATGTATGGATTTATTGCTAATTCTTATCACTAGTCTTCAAGATCATTTGTCTTATATTGTGACTTGAGGTGTTTAATCGGAAATACTGACTAGCCATCTTTGTACAGACGCTATGAAGAATACAATGATCCTAAAACTTGTTGGCTGTCTTATTAAATCCTACCGGAATGTTGGACTCAACCTCTTAAGTTTAAATTGAAAGAGGATAAACTGATAAATTCCTAGATTTAGGTTGCCGTAAAGTAATTTTTTGCTAATTATTAAACATTACTATCTAAATTTAAGTAAATTTTTATGTCATTGCCCCTAGTTTCATATGTTGCTGCTGTTGTTGTTGTTAGGTGCCGTTGAGTAGATTCTGACTCATAGCAACCCTGTAGGACAGAGTAGAACTACCCATAGGGTTTCCAAGGAGCCCTGGTGGATTTGAACTGCCAACCTTTTGGCTAGCAGCCT